TGGCCAATGAGATTTGGGGAATCAGAGAATTGAATCCTATTTCTCTTCTGCCTGGACAAAGGCCAGATTCTGCCCGGGATGAGGCTCCACCTACTAATGTCTGGGCTGAGGAGGTAGGGCCAGAGTAGGATCATTGTAATACATTTTTTTTGCCAGATGATTAGGAGAAGGCAAGATGATTAGAAAGAGTTACTAATCCCTTTTCCAAGGACTTCCTGCCTCACCAAACTCCCAAAACTCTCATGGGATGATGATGGAAGCAATTTTAAAAATTAAATGAAGGGTCAGATCTTACAGAGCAGTGTAGAGTGGGCGAACAAAAGTACTGCCTTGATCTGACCAACACCCCTCCCAACACTCCAGGGGGAAGAGGCCCTTATTGAGTTAGGCCTTTTGATTGGGCACCTCTTAAGGTGCTTTCCTCACATTCCTCTGTTCTCCCCAGACATCTTCCTCTTCTTGTGTCGGCCTCCCAGGCTGTTGTACCATTCTGTTCCCTCAGGAGGAGAGCTACTTTCTACCTCTCCCCAAACTGGGGTTCCTGACATGAAATCTGTCTTTACTCCAGCTCTGCCCTCTTGGGGGCAGGTGGATTCTGAGAGCCTCTTGAGTTAGAGAGGTAATAGAGGCTGACTCCTCCGCCAGTCTCCCTACAGCTAGAGCTGCAGCTAATCTCCTCACCAGTTCCCTTAGAGGAGAAACATCTCAGCAAAGCAGACATTCGTTTTTTTCTACAAAGACAACACAGTCTAGCCTCACATGGGGAAGTATCTTCCTCTCATTAACATGTGTTTTTGTTCTTTTCAAAGTCATAATCCTTGCTTTATTTCACTAAGGAGCCTTTGACCACTGCCTGAGCTTGGTTTACATCATGGGTCAGGGTATCAGCTGTGAGTCACTGAGACAGCCTTCTGATCCCCAAATCTCTTGTCTAATAGAAGGGAGAACAGGAAGATCTTTGAGCTCAATCCTCCTGCTGGTGGTTTTTTTCTTGTTTCGTATATTCCTCCTTTCATAATATGTCCTAAGAAGGCATAGACAATTAGGTGGAGCTAGGGGAACAGTAGTATTAGGTGAGATAATTTTTCTACTTGTCTGTCAGGGTCCTGGAGGAAACAGCTGGTTTGCACAAAGTTTTCATTGAAGACAGTGTAATAAAGGGAGTATTTACAGAGGTGCAAACAGACTTAAGAAAACCCAACAAGGAACGGTGAAGACAAGGGACAGGCAACACGTGGGCCTGTATAAGCCAGTGGGCATGGTGTTACCTGACCCTGGGAGAGTTACAGCTGTGGAAAAGGGGTCATTCAAACATTGTTGTGGCAAAGGAATGCAACCACTGCAAAAACCATGGCCTGGGAAGGAGGCAGGGAGGGATGAAAAGGTTGACCTCGGGCGCCTGGGTGGCTCAGATGGTTAAGCGTCTGCCTTCGGCTCAGGTCATGATCCCAGGGTCCTGGGATCGAGTCCCACATTGGGCTCCCTGCTCCTTGGGAGCCTGCTTCTCCCTCTGCCTCTCTCTCTCTGTCTCTCATGAATAAATAAATAAAATATTTAAAAAAAAAAAAAGAAAAGGTTGACCTCTCTTTCTTCCTGCCCTCTAATCGTCTTCAGCACATTGGCCAAAGCCCATTGGAAGCCAATGAGCAAGGAGCCTGCCAGGGCAGAAGGCAAGACAAAGAAGGATAGAGAATGGAGGGGCAAACAGAGTAACCAACACACAGTCAGTATTTGAAAATTTAAATAATGGTCCACTTATCTCACAAAGCAAACTACTAGGCACAACTTACACTTTACATTAGAATAGTGGACTTCTGTATGCACCAAAAGAAATGCAACAATGCCTCATGGAAGTTCAATAGATAAATGGCATATAGGACACATGGTTCCTAATCTCATGGTGAGTAGGGATTGGATTTTCTTTCCCCGTCCCTTCAGGTCTTATCTCCTTACTCTGCATTCTGTGTCTGCCAGGGACAAAACAAAACAAAACAAATCTATGCCGACATGTGCATGCTTGAAGCACCACAGGATTTTTAGGAAGGCTATCCTCTGGTGTTCATTGCCCCACCCTACCCTCCATCTTCCCCCACAAACATCAGGAATCCCTTTGATAGCATTGCTGACAGATTATCTAGTCTGACTTTGGTGACAAATAGTTTACCATCTCCCAAGGGAAACTTCTAGTATTGAACAACTCTTGTTTAAAAAAGTTAATACTAAGCCACAACAATATTTATTAAAAATGTTCCTCTCAAGTGACAAGTTTTATTAGTTAGGTCCTTAAAGGATGTTAAGAAACAAATGGAGACCAGGCTTGAAAATTACCTGAGCAGACAAAACCAGTTTAGTCATACAAGCAAAGCTTAATTTAGCTCATTTTGTAAGAGTAATTTGACAGAGGTCATTTCTGGCTAATGCCTCTGGAAATCATAACCAAAACTTGGACTGTTTCTCAGGATTGATAGGAAATAACCACTGATCAATTCCCTTTTATGAAAATCTAATATTAAAACCAATCACTATGAGGGGCGCCTGGGTGGCTCAGTAGTTAAGTGTCTGCCTTTGTCTCAGATCATGACCCCAGCATCCTGGGATCGAGCCTCACGTCGGCTCCCTGCTCAGCTCCCTCTCCTGCCTCTCCCCCTGCTTGTGCTCTCTCTCTCTCTGTCAGAAAAATAAATTTAAAAATCTTAAAAAAAAAATCACTGTGCAAAATGAATAGTCACTGCTTTCTTACCACATAGGCTGCTTTATAACAATATACCTGTACCCTTGAACCTCATTCCATGTTTTTGGTTTGAATGCTCCTAGTTTGCAAACTGTCTTTTTGCTGTGTGCACAATAAATAAACTTTTACTAATGACTACTTCCCTGATTCACTGGTTTTCTATTCTTTCTGAACTTTTTACAAGAACAACTTAAAAGTTGAAATCCTCTCAGTTTAGCTTGTTAAATTCAAGATAATTCAACACCATCTGTACCATTTGGCCATGTTTTCATTCTCCTGAGATGTTTTGTTAAATGGAATCTGGAATCCCAGAGATTCTTATTTGCTGCTTCTGTGGAGCAAAATAAACTCAAGAGTGGAGAAAAAGCATTAAGGAGGTGAAGAAGTTAACTGGGGACAAGGAATAGCTACTTTAAGGGAGAATAGGGACACAATGACATTGTTAAAGAATTACTAGTTGAAGATCACAAAGGAGGAGAAACAGTATAAAATTAAACAGGGAAAGTTTGTAGCACTCAGGAACCAAAAAAGTAAAAAAATAAAACTGGAAGATTCGGTGATGGTTTCTGTTCATTCCTACGGGTTTACTTGTACCCTTTTCCACCCTGCTGTGTGTCCTGGAAGGCTGACCTATATAGACTGCATCAACTACCCTCTGGCTTCTGATAAGCATCAGCCATCTGAGACCCTGGAGGAGACTGGAGATTGGAGGGAAAGAGAGTAAGACAGGCACATTCATCCTGCCTCTCATTCTTCCTCCCTGTGAGGTTGCTGCGGGCTGGCTGCATCCCCAACTCAAGGCCAGAACCTCAGTCAGACTGCCCTTTTTACACAGTTCTCTCTCTCTGGATTCCAGTAACCCTCTTCCCTTCAGGCCTAGGCATTGCCAAACACTTGTGGTTTCCTGCACCCTGCCCACAACTTTGCAAATAGTCCTGTTCATTATTAAATTGCCCAATTGGAATGTGCCATCTGTTTCTGGCCAGGACCCTTACACACTCAGTCTGATTCATTTACTGAGTAACTACTATATGCCAAGGAAGAATAAAATGATAAATCAGTTAGTACTCTCAAGGGATCAGTCTGGGGAGTGGAGACAGCCCCAGGAACAGAAGATTATATCACAGCTTGATAAAAATGAAGCAGAGAGGCATTGGATGGGGAGGTGGGTGAGTGGAGGCATAAAACAGAGGCAAGGGCAGATTCAGAGACGATGTCTTGGTGGAGATGGGGTCAGGAAAATTCAGAGGCAAGGATGTGAGTAGAGGGGTCAGGAGCTAGATGAGAAGTTTATAGCCATGAAAATCAGGGCCTGTCAGGGTGTGAAAGGATGAGAGTGGAGGGTGAGGCTGGGCCAGACCACAGAAAGCCTTGTATTGCGGGGAGGGGTCCTTCTTTTCCATGTGCTTATTCTCCCTCTCCTCCTCTCTCCGCCAAGGGAAGAATAAGACACAGGTGAAGTCTGCAGCTTCCTACTCTTAACCCTTAATCCTGCCCTACTACCAGGTCTTGACACCTACTTCCTTGGCTTAAAATCGGTATTTTCTGTTGAGAATCACTTCCATACACCACCTGCACATCCGAAGGTCTTTCAAAATGGCAACAAGACAATATGGTACGCCGGTCCTTGGAGATGAGCTACAGGAGAGGGCTAGAAGTGAACGTTCCCAAACGCATTCTAGAAGCCCTAACAGCCAGAACCACGTTTTAACAGCAACAGACAACAGTCTAATGGAGAAGGGTAACAGTAATGCTGGAAAGAGGGCAAAGAGTGAAGCTTCACTTCACCAAAGTGGGGCTTTGGTCCAGATTAATTTGTGTAGGTGGGCACTTTTAAAATCCATTATTTATCACACTATATAGGCAAATCTGGGGTCCAGGAGATGTCTGTCTTTCCTCTCTAAAGCGCAAACTGCAAAGAGTTTCCTTGCTGAGTAGGGCCTCTTTGGCACCTTCCTGGCAGGGATCGAAGACTGCCAGTCCTCAAGGCTGGGGCTCAGGAGGCGCCGTTAATCAAAATCAACACACAATCCTGACCTCTCTTCTCATAACCTAGCTATAGCCCCACTGCCTTCATCATCCCACAGATAAGTAAAAGACACGGGTGGAGTTCAAAGCAAGCGGTGGGTAGGGAATCCTTCCAGCTCTCGTTCTGAACAACAAACTGGAGCGGTTACCGGATGCCGGGCCAGGGGGCGGCCCCTAGCTTCCAGTGGGCTGGCGAGGAAGCCCCTCCTCCCGGGCGGAGGCAGCTCCCAGGAGTGGAAGCCCGCGTCCCGCCCCGGAGTCAGAGCCTTAAGGCCGCCGCCGCCGCCTGGCAGAGAGTTCGTGTGGCTGTCGCGGCGCGGAGTATGGGGCTCTGATGGCCATGGACGGCTACAAGGGCTTTCTGGGGCTGCTGGTGTCGGCGCTGCTCGTCGGTTTCCTGTCCGTGATCTTCACCCTCATCTGGGTCCTCCACTACCGGGAGGGACTCGGCTGGGATGGGACCATGCTCGAGTTTAACTGGCACCCGGTGCTCATGGTCACTGGCTTCGTCTTCATCCAGGGCATCGGTACTGGGCACCTCCTGGGAGGCAGCGGGGAGGGACGCGCTGGCCGGGGTCCAGGACCGATCGCTCTCAGCCGTTTGGGGCCGACGTGGGCGAGCTCGGGGACGAAAGGGGAGCGCGGGGCCCGCGGGGTGCGCGGGGCTGGGAGCCGCGAGCGGAGCGTGCCGGGGCGCCCAGACGGCGGGGCGCGGCGGCGGGATGGAGTCGGGGGGCCGCGGGCGCGCAGACCCGTGACTCGGCCGACGTGGGCTAGCGTGCAGTGGCGGCCTTGGGGCGGCGCGCGGGGCCCGGGGATCGCCGCCAGACGCCTCGGGGCGGGGCGGGGGGGGGTGCGGCTGAGCAGCGCTGCAGTCGGGCGGGTGGCCCGCTACGCTGGCCCCACTTGGTTAACTCTTTGCTGCGAGTGGCCGGGGTGCACTTGAGGCACCCCCTGACACCAGAAGCCGGAACGGAGGAGGGAGGCTGCAGTGCCGTGCGTCCCTAGCCCCTTAGCCCCGAAAATCGCCTCCTGTGGACGGAGCCTGCGCAATCACTGGCGCAGAGAGGCTCTTTAGGCGAGGTCTTTCTCTGAACTTTCTTCAGAGCTGCAGATTAGGAGAGAAAGGCAACGGGGGAGACGGTGGGGCGAGAATTTGTTCCTGTCCCAGCCTCAGTCCTGAGTGAAGGGTGAGTAAAGCATCAGCTCTGGTTTCACTCCTCCTAGAGCGTTCAGTTCAGTCCAGCCTCCAGGACTCAAAAGGGTGTTAGGCTTCCCTGCCTGGTCATTGGACAGACTTTAGCCCAACTTGTTTTTGTGGCTGGCGACCAGCGAAATTTCCCCTGCGGGCCTTCTTGTTGGGCGCTGGCCCCTGCATCGGCCCGAGATGTCAGGTGGGACCTGCGGCCCTCTGGCTCCCAGAGGAGCTTGTGCTTGAGACATCCCTGGGGTTTGCTGTGTCCATGTTTGCTCCGGACAAGCCGGCTTCGGGCCTGCACTCTCCGGGATGAGGCTGACCGGGAGGGAGGGTTCAGTTGATGGCAGATTTTGTTTTTGTTTTGGAATATAATCGACGTATAACATTATATGTTTCATGTGTATAACATGTGTATTATTATATATATATGATTTATAAATCGAAATGGTCACCACAGTAAGTCTAATTAACATCCACCAGCTCGCATAGCTACACATTTTTTTCTTGTGATGAGAACTTTGGAGATGTACACTCTTAGCAATCTTTAAGTTCTACTTTCTTAGCGACGGCTCAAATATACAATATAATATTATTAATGTAGTCACCATGCTGTACCTTACATCCCCAGGATTTATTTTATTACTGGAAGCTTGTACTTTTTTCTGTGGGCCCCCTCCCCCCCCAACCTATGGCAGGTTTTTTTTTTTTTTAAGATTTTATTTATTTATTTGACAGAGAGAGAGCACAACTAGGCAGAGTGGCAGACAGAGGGAGAGGGAGAAGCAGGCTCCCCGCTGAGCGGAGAGCCCGATGCGGGGCTCGATCCCAGGACACTGGGATCATGACCTGAGCGGAAGGCAGACGCTTAACGACTGAGCCACCCAGGCGCCCCTGTGGCAGTTTTTACTGTGGTTGTGTAGTGCTGCTAAGTGTTCAGTTTCCCTCCTTTGCATTTGGGCTGGAGGAAGCTCTAGCTAGTGGTGCAAGCACCATTTATTTGCAGCCAGTTTTCAAAAAGTGAAGCCAAGGCCTGGCAGATAAAGTATTTAGAAGACGGTAGAGAGCGGTGGGCGGGGGTTAGAGCTCAGAAAATAATGGAGAGAAGCATGAAGCCTTCAGAAAGAGGTGCCCACCAGCTGAAACCTCTAAGCCTTGTCTCTGAGCAGGTCGCCTTTTCTCCCAATATCTGGCTCTCTAAAACAAACGAGAAAACAAAAGAGCTCTGGCCTTGTTCCCAAAGAAAAGATTTTGTTTCCATGTAAAACGTGTGTGGCAGCCTTCAGCAGGTGTGGCCAGCATCCTTCCACCCTGGGATACAGGGGCAGGCGTTGCTCATGCTTAGTTCACCTGGGGTGCGATGGGCATGGGGGTGCGAGGGCCATCAGCCAGCCAAGTTATTTTGTTACGTAAGTCCCAGTTATTTTGCCACTGACCGAAAATGAGAAAAACATGCCCAAGTTCCAAAGTCGCTGTCATCAGAAATGCTCTTTCCCTCGTGGTGGAGCCCTTAAGTGTGGCCAGAGCTGTCAACATCTTCTGTTTGCTCACAATAGTAGAAACAGTCTCTTCATCTCTTCCAACCAGCACTTCAGAGCAGCTCCTACTTTCCAGAGTCTTCTCATAATTGTGAGAGTAAGGAAACACAGATGATACTAGTTGTTTCCTGACTGACCAAAGAGGAGACAGTCACAAAACGGTCACTAACGTTTATTGAGTGCTTTCTGTATGCCCACTAAGTGCGTTCTTTCACAGGTATTTAAGAATAAACCAAGGCTGTTATTGCCATAAACAATGTACTTCCCCGTTCCCTTCCAGTGGACCTGAGCAGGAACTGTCCATCTACATGAGGACACCATCTGGTGGCCCTGAAACAGTGCCCTCACTACATCCCATCACCAGGAAGACAGGCAACAGATGATTATTGAAAATAAAATTTTAGTTGGAAACTATTTGGGAATGGTTCTATTTGCACATATGGACACAGCCTGACTGGAACTGGGGAGATCTTCTCTTTTTGGTTTCTTTTCACCGTCTTGAGAGGAGCTCTGAAAAACATCTCAGGCCATCTGGCCTATTTTTTCATAATGTGACTCCTAAAAGTAAATGTGGTTCAAGAAGATATTTGGAATAAAATGAACTAATAAAATCCTTATAACTTAAAAAAAAAAGAATAAACCAAGGCACTGAGCAGTTAAGCCTTACCCATGGAAATGGTATGTTTTCAGTGGCCTTGTTTTCAAGGTTCATTTCTCTGCCTTTATGGCAATATGCTTACTTTCGGCAAAATATCCTTAAGAGAAGCAAAAAACTTCATCTAAAATACACCTTGAAATTCTTTATTCATGTTAGAGTCCATTAGAGTTTTCTAGTTTCTCTAAACTTCAGGCTTTTCTTAATCTGTTCATACTCACTTTTGGGCAAAAACATGTAAATGGAGGGGCGCCTGGGTGGTTAGCCCATTAACCGTCCCCCTCTTGATTACGGCTCAGGTTGTGATCTCAGGGTTATAACATCAAGCCCCACTTAGGGGAGCCTGCTTAAGATTCTCCTATTCTGGGGCGCCTGGGTGGCTCATTCGTTAAGCATATGCCTTCGGCTCAGGCCCTGGTTCCAGGGTCCTGGGATCGAGCCCTACATCGGGCTCCCTGCACAGCAGGAAGCCTTCTTCTCCCTCTCCCTCTCCCCCTGCTTGTGTTCCTTCTCTCGCTGTGTCTCTCTCTGTCAAATAAATAAATAAAATCTAAAAAAAAAAAAAAAAGAACCCAAAAACATGTAAATGGATATTTTGGAAATTTTCATCTGTTGCTTTTATGCAAACCTTGTTTTCTTAAAGCTTAGTTATGGTATTTGTATTAGTTTTGGAATGTTTGTCCTGTCAACATTCCCCATCCTGTTTACTGTTTGGATTCCAGACTTGCAAAGCACTTTAATCAGATAATGCATTTAATTGACATAAACATGAGCTTTTTCCTACAGACAGACACACGCATAGTAGTCCTGAATTTTTACAAATCTCGGTGGGCCAGCACCTTCTAGGTACTGCAGCAGGAAGGCTCCAGGAGGGAAACATGCATTACAGACTAGCCATGTTAAAACGGGCTTTTTTACTGTGTGTAATTGTTTCAGGAGGGAAATTTTTAGGTTTTGCTGTTTCAGATCCCTAGTAATGAACAGGATGCAATTGAGTTTGTGATGCACAAATATTTAGAGATGAAGAAGGGAAGGCTAAATTACAATTATTACTCTAGGCATAAAATGCCTTACAAATACAATACACAAACACTAAACAGTACTTAAAACCATTTGAGAACAAGTGAGAGTCTTGTGAAACACCTTTAAGCAGTAAGCTCTGGAGTAAGCATAAAAATTACAAAATAAATGTCCGTGTGTGTATGGGGGCACACAGACACCTACACACACATAGTCCAGATAAATTTTGGGAAATACATGTATTCTAAAATGGAGCATAGCAGATGATAGGATATCTAAAACTGAAATAAAATTTTAAACGAGTGGGATGTCTAGTAAACGTGAATGAGGAAGAGTTTCAAAGAGAACTTTAGAAGAGGCTTTGTGCTTTTCTGAAAGGAATGTTTCCCAAGAAGTAAGTTCACTGCCAGGAAATCAGAGAAAGAGCCCTTGAAAAAAAGGCTACAGAAAAGATTGAAACAAATAAACCCCCTCAAAATGGCAGTTGACCTTTTAAAAGGTTCAGCAAGGTGGAATGTGTTATTTGGTAAAAGGTAGAAAATTCAAGTATATAAATTTGGTGACTAGAAGTCTCAGCAATTCTATACTCCTTCCTTTTCCACATGTAGAATTCTATTTACTGTATAAACTGGAGGGAGAGAAATTGAATCGTATAATGATCTCAAGGTGGCTTTGTGAGAGAATATAACTACATTTTAGTAACATTTAAAAGACTAAGAAAAAGAAATTGAGTGGTTCTTAAAAGGCAGTTGGCATATCCTATTAATGCATCTAAAACTGACCACATTCCAAGTCCACTTAAGTGTATTTGAAAAGGCTCTTGGGGTAGAGCATGGCAAAGAAGACAGTGGGGAAAGTGCCCCAGATACCTACTCCAAAACCAGCCGTGGGGGCACCACTGATAATAAAGCCTACCAACTTTAAGGAAAGGAAGGTTTTCACAAAGCATAAGGACCCAATTCAAGGCAACCCAAGACACATTTTTTGTTATAAATAAATACACGCAGATCTCTTTGTAATGTAACTAATAAAAATGTTTTAGAAATGATTATTTTGCTCACTGTTGTATATCTGGCACCTAAAAAACACCTAGAACTGGCAGATGGTAGGCGAATAAAT